TAAGTATGGCCCACGCAGTGTTTGGGAAATACTTAGACTAAAAAATGATTCATGGTTTATCTGAAATTCAAATTTTACTAGGTGACCCACATTTTATCTGGCAACATGCTACATGCTGGTAATATTTTAGAAACCGAACCCTTGCAAATGCAAGGTATAGGGGGTGGGGGCGTGACGGGCACCCTGTTGAAAGGAATCCTATAGAAGCTTGTAAAAAAGTGGAGAATCCCTCCCATTTTGGACATAGAAATCATCTATCAATGAGACGCCGAGAAATAAATAGTGTGGCATTCAAGACCCTCTCTTATGTACACCCCTGTTTCCAACCCCCTTAATACGCCACTGTCCCTGAACAGGTCTCTGCTCAGACCGGCCAGGAGCCTCACTTCCCAACACCAGCCTGAGCTGCCCCCACTGCCACTCTTGCCCGTGTTGTTCACCCCTCTCCTGTTCCCTCCCTGCTCTGTAATCTGAGCTGAACCCCACTCTTTTCTCTGCTGAGCAGATGTACCTTCCCGGGACCCCCGTGGACAGGTTCACATCCCTGAGCCTAAATATGCATCTGTCTCTACGAAGTGATGTTACTAGCAGCTTCTCCCCAAGTGACAGGAAGTCTTTAAATATATATTTTTCAGTGTTTATTTTTGAGAGAGAGAGAGAGAGAGAGAGAGAGAGAGAGAGAGAGAATGCGATCGGGGGAGCACAGAGAGAGGGAGACGGGTTCTGTGCTGACAGCAGAGAGCCCGATGCGGGGCTCGAACTCACGAACCCTAAGATCATGATCTGAGCCGAAGTCGGATGCTCAACTGAATCACCCAGGCGCCCCCCGCCCCCAGGTGACAGAAAGTCTTCAGTCAATAGATGGAATTGTCGCCATTTTTCACTTTCAGATTTTCCAGAATCTTGCACCTCGGCTGGCCTAGTGATAGAGGACAATCCAATGAGAAGGCAAATAGTGACCTCCCGTGTGTCCTTCATACCGAGCTCCGTCTGGGCTTTTGACAGGCCCACGGGTCGTGGCAGGGATCCTATGTGAAGTCCTCTCTGCCGTACATTGAGCCTTTCCAGGTGGCCTAAAATATTATAATTCCTGTCCACATGATGTAAACAGAACCTTCGTGGCTGGCAATATCCTGCAGGAGTTCCTGTAACTCTCCAAAGTCATACCAGCGCTCCCAAGCGGGTAGCTCTGTCACTGGGTTTGATTTGTGTCCTGGGGGAAGTTGGCAGCGTGTAACAAGATCTACAAAACTAGCCGGGACCTTTGCCCCTGGTAAGGTTGCTTTGGTAATGAGGCTTAAAGACACGACTCCCATGGAAATAAAAAATAATTTACACAGAGTAGCCGATTTATACCAGAGAGCGAAACTGGAAGCAGCCTCAAGGGCCCAAGTATAAGAAAAGATCAGTAGGGGCGCCTGGGTGGCGCAGTCGGTTAAGCGTCCGAC